AGCTTTCACAATCAATTTTAAAGAAAATATTTTTCCCGAAATAGCATCCCATGTTTTAGCCACCCTTATTACACCGCATGACTTCTAGTAGTTCCCCTACTAGCCACGCGTATCAAGCCACCCTTGTCTCACCGCATGCGTTTCAACACCCAGACCTTATACCACCGCATGCATATCAATATCACAATATATCACAATTTGCATCTCAAGTGCCCAAATATTTCAGCTTGCCAAAATAAAGCACAACAATATATTTTCCACAATAAAGAGCTCACGGCTCATGCCAAAATAAATCAACAATAATATTTTCCATAATAAAGAGCTCACTGCTCATACCGAAATAAATCAACAACAATATTTTCCACAATAAAGAGCTCACAACTCTATCACAATGAGTACAAAAATCTCACAAAATATTCAGCAAAAATAGTATTCACAAATTCAACACCTTGTCTAAATATCAAATTTTTAAATGTAAAATATTTTATTTTTAAAAAAAATATTTAAATTAAGAAATCCATCCTTCAAGTAATGCACAGAACAAAAGAAACTAAAATTTTAACTAAATATGTAAACAATTAGTAGGAAAAATGTGAGGCAAATTTAAGAGTATAAAATAGAACAATGATGATGAATATAACAGGATAAAATAATTTAATTAATATGCATCAATAATATACACAATTTAAAGACATAATCTTCCACATTTAGCCCGTGTACACACTCATCACCTCGTGTACATGACTTTCAATACATTACAATTATCACATCAATATCAATCCTAGGGGGAATTTTCCCCACACAACGTTAGACAAGTCACTTACCTCGACTTCCTCCAATTTAATCCACTAGTAGGCCTTTTTCTCAATTATCCAACTCTGAATGGCTCGAATCTAGCCAAAATAATTCGATACAGTCAACAAAAATTATAGGAATCAATTTTATAAGAAAATACTACATTGTTTTCAATAAAATCCGAAATTAACTCAACATCGTCTGTGGGGCCCACATCTCGGAATCCGGTGAAAGTTACGAAATATGAACGTTCATTCAACCACGAGTCTAACCATACCAAAATTACTAAATTCCAATAACAATTCGGCCCTCAAATCCTCAAATTTATCCAAGAGGGTTTTCAAACTTTTCCAACCTAATTCACCAATTAAATGATAAAAACAGTGATGGATTTGGGTAATTTAACCAAAATTGAGTTAAGAACACTTACCTCGATGTTTTCTCTCAAAATCTCCCAAAAATCGCCTGAATCCGAGCTCCAAATCGGTAAAAATGAAAAAATAGAACTAAGTCCCATTTTCTAAACTTAAACTCTCTGCCCAGACATTTCTTCTTCGCGAACGCGGTCAGTGCCTTGCGTTCGCGAAGCACAATATTGTGCTGCCAAACATTGCCCTTTGTGAAGGCGAAGGCAACCTCGTGAACGCGATGCCTTGCCTGGCTTGGCCTTCGCGAACGCGAGTTGCCCTTCACGGTTCGCGAAGGCAAAAATCCTCTCCGGTCATTTCTCCTTCGTGAACGCGAGGCTTCGATCGCGAATGCGAAGCTTTGCACCTCGACCCTTCGAGAACGCGTGCCCTCGGTCGCGAACGCGAAGCACAAAATATGCCAGTCCAAATTTCCTCTTCGCAAATGCGAGACGCCCCTCGCGAAAGAGAAGAAGGAAACCAGAACAAGCATCAGAAAATTTCTAGCAGCATTCCAAGTCCGAAATTCAATCTTTTAGCCATCCGGTACTCGCCCGAGACCCACGAGACCTCAACCAAATATACCAATAACTCCTAAAACATCATACGGACTTAGTCAAAACCTCAAATCACATCAAATAATGTTAAAATCACAAATCATACCCAATAAAGCTTAATGAAACTTAAGAATTTCCAACTTCTACATTCTATGTCGGAACCTATCAAATCAAGTCCGATTGACCTCAAATTTTGCACACAAGGCATAAATGATATAACGGAGCTATGAAATGAGGATTGTAGAAATTCTTCGCGGCTCGGACCTTTTGAGTTGAACAATGCACAGGAAAGTAAAGTAAAGTTTTTGGCAAAAAAAGTGCATTTCTGCGGTCCATTATGCGACCGCAGAATCACTCTGCGGACCGCAGAGTGAGGCAGTTAATTGGGTCAGTTGAAAGCAATTATGCGATTGACTATGTGACCGCATAACTATTATGCGATGTACTAGGCGACCGCATAACAGTTATGCGAACCGCATAGTGACTGTAGACTCAAGTAGATTTCTGGTCATTTTGGACACCAATTATGCGACCGATATGCGGTCCGCATAACCATTATGCGGTCGCAGAACCTGTTCCGGAGCTTCACTTTTGGGTTTTTAAAACCCGACCCTATTTCATTAAATACACTTTTTGGGTCATTTTTTAGGTATAATCTGATATTTTAGAGTGAGAGAGAGTGCCCTAGAGTGAGAAGGTGTTCCTCTATAATTGATTCTTCAATTCTTGCTCAAGTTTTGGAAGATTAAGCAGGGAAACTCACTAGGTCTTCATCCTAGAGGTACGATTCTACACCCTAACCCTCAATTTCAAATTTTGTCTAGAAATGGGTAATAAGCAAGATAATTTCTTGGCAAGAGGGTTGTTTATTTTACATGCATGTATTATCAAAGGGTGTAGAAAGATTGTTGAGCTAAAAATGGTAAAGATTGGGTTATGGGATGATGGAATCCTCCATAAAAGGACCTTGAACCTTAATCCACATTTAGTGTTTGATAAAAAGCTCAAATGAGCTGAGACCATGAATATCTTCCTAATTATGGTTCAATTTTGTTATGTCTCAAATAGATTGGGATTGCTAGAATTTCCGGAACGTTGTAGTAATTTAAGGAAAGCTCAATTGAGGTATGTTGGCTAAACTTTCTCTCTTGGAATTAAATTCCATAATGTTTCCGTGAGTTTCAAAGTATGGGTTGCGTATTAAATTGTGGTGGCTTGAATCGTATTTCAAATAAAAGCTAGTATGCCAAATTATGTGAGAAAATCTCAATATTCTTAAGACTCTTAATTGCTCATATTTGTACCTAAAGTCTTGATTGGTAATGTCTTATTGTTGATAACCTATAAAGATGGTTGGAAGTGAAATCAGTAAATTAGGAATATAAAGTGTGGCCAATGGTGCCAATGAAATGAAATAATTTGAGCAAGATTATGAGATGAGCTTTGACTCAACTATTCCAAAATTGACTTCGACAATATAATCGGTTAAAAGTTTATGAACTCAAGTGATGCCCATATGCGGCTGTTTTAGCTAATGCTATGCTTTGTAAGTAATTTTCAATGTGTTTAACGTTCTTACATATTCGTGAGTGGAAATTGTGTATGATCTTAACTTGTACTTCGACTGCCAATCATTTTACTCCAATTATTGGAAAGAAATTGATTGTGTTTAAAAGCCTTCATTACTAATGAATTTAAAGTTCNCCTGTGGACGGTCTATGAACGCATAGGTATATTGTGATATGAAATCTTGTGGACGGTCTATGAAATTCATAGGTACATTGTGTTATGAAGTACATTGTGTTATGAAATCCTATGGACGGTCTATGAACGCATAGGTACATTGTGATATGAAATCCTGTGGATGGTCTATGAACGTATAGGTACATTGTGTTATGAAATCCATTCTGATATGAAATCCTGTGGACGGTCTATGAACGCATAGGTATATTGTGATATGAAATCTTGTGGACGGTCTATGAAATTCATAGGTACATTGTGTTATGAAGTACATTGTGTTATGAAATCCTATGGACGGTCTATGAACGCATAGGTACATTGTGATATGAAATCCTGTGGATGGTCTATGAACGTATAGGTACATTGTGTTATGAAATCCATTCTGATATGAAATCCTGTGGACGGTCTATGAAACGCATAGGTGCATTATGTATAAGAGGTATAGATGTACGGTATGAATAAACACTATGAGACACATTATTAATGCAGACAATAGGTGCCCCCTTTTGTTGTCCTTGTTTGTACAGGTTGTTTCAATTACATTATATTATGTGTTCCACGTATAGATCATATTGGCATTCTATTTTGAAACAGGATTTCTAGTTATACATACTAGTGCTATTTGACAGTACTAACGTCCCTTTTGTCAGGGGCGCTGTATCTTTAATGGATGCAGGTGGTTCTACAACAAGTGGCATTGACCAGTGATAGCAGTACACTCCTTTCAGCCGATTTGGTGAGCCCCACTTCATTTCGGGGACATGTATCTTTTGTTTCTCATGTACTTTGTGGTTGAAGTATAGCCGGGGCCTTGTTGTCGGCATTTTCATATTACTCTTCAGTTGTACTTAGAGGCTTCGTAGACATGTGTTGGTATTTGGCAACATATTTTTCATTAAATCTATAAACTCGTACTATTTTGGAAATATTGAATGATGCTGTTAATGGGAATAAAATGGAAGCGATTAATGAAATCTCTTCAGTACTTGATTAACGGAATACATCTCCTCTTTATTCACGAATGAATTTGGATAGAATAAAATCTAACAGGCTTGCTCAGTCGGGTTCACTTGATTGAGCGCCAGTCACGCTCCTCGGTTTTGGGGCGTGATAATATTTTTTGTATAGTAACAATCTATTTAGTATATATTTTGTATAGTGACAGTCTATTTTGTATAGTGACAGTCTATTATATATAAAGTGTATAGTGGTAGTCTATTTAGTATATTTTTGTATAGTAATAGTCTATTTTGTATATATTTCTGTATAGTGACAGTCTATTTTAGTATATGTTTTGTATAGTGACAATCTATTTAGTATATACATTGCATAAAATTTGTATATAGAGTGTATCGTGCATCTTGCAATGTATCCATAATATATCATTAATGTATCCCGAGCGCTTTTGTGTATCCAAAGTGTATAGACTATTCTACGATGTATAAATTTTGTATATAAAGTGTATCGTGCATTTTACTACGTAGTGATGTAGTAAAATGTACTCGCCATGCCTGAGTCACCTCGTTGGCTCGTAATGCAGGGTCAACTCGGCGATGCAAGGCGAGTTTTGAACAAAACCTTTGATTCATTAGAAGAAGCTCAGTTACGACTCGCCGATATTAAAGAAGCCGCCGGCATATCCGAACAATGCAACAACGACATAGTTGAAGTACTCAAACTCCCCAAAGGCGGCAAAGTATGGCATGGATTGATCTTCTCACCAACATCGGCCGTCTGTCACACACTACTCACCGGCGTCGAAATTTATTTTTTTAAGCAAGCAAGTGGAATCGATGCCGTCATTTTGTATAGTCCGACAATTTTTGGAAAAGCATGTATTAAATCCAATCACGACAAGTTGCTAGCCACCGTAGCTGTCGGATTCGTCAAAACAATTTTCATCCTCGTAGCCACATTCACGCTTGACAAATCCTGCCGGCGGCCGTTACTGTTAACCAGTATTGCCGATTTAGGTTTTACAATAATGTTTGTCGGTATGCGGGGAAGACCAATTTAGGCTAGCCATTATAATTTGTTTGGGGCTATAAATTATATGGATCAATTCATGGCTAGCTATTGATAATAGTTTCCACCGGCCGGCTACAAATGAAATTTGCTCCTTTTTTTTTTGCCTTAAAATTGTACGGAAGAGTGATTTGAGTGATTTTAATAGGGTTAGTGATATGTTATTCGTTTAGCATAAAATTCCGGCAACCATTTATTAATTTTGTTGGTTGACCTTTGGTCAAAAGGGGTGCCCTTTCCCTTTCAAAAGGCGAAGGGGGTATTGTTTCCCTAGACTAAAAGGTGAAGAGGGTAAAGTAGAATTTAACTGAAAAAACTGAGGTAGATGATTTGGTTCTCTTGTTTTTGTTGAGTTCGAAATCAAAGTGTGATCTTTTTGGACTCAAACCACAAAAATAGATGAAAAAAATCAACTGATGACCAATTTATATATAACGCATGGGTTGAATGAGCTATACGTTAACGGTACGTTTATCCGTTAAGGTATAGAATATGTAATATAACCCATGCAATATATTTGAATTTGACTGACCCACCAATAATTAGTGAGTATAGCGCATGCATTTATCGCGCTACATATATAACATGTATAATGAATGCGCTATACCTCAATTATTGTACCCCCGCATTGATTTTTTGCTTATTTAAGGAGTTTCATTATTTCGTTAAAAATCCATTCAGAATAGTCAGTCTTCTGCGTCCTTTTTATTTTCTTTTACTCATTCCGAAATATTTGTTTACTTAACTTTTTCTGCATTTTGTTATAATGTCCGAAAAGCAAAAATTAGGGTTGCATTATATTGGGGAGGGGGGAGGGTGAGGTTGTCATGCAGAATAGCTCAGTACGCTATAGTTGTTCTCCACAGTGTATTGTTAAGTTGCCACTTATAATGGAGTACGACAGATTGGTTTTGTTGTTATATAAAAAAATGAGTGTGAGGAAACGTTCGGTTAATATTAAAGTAACCGGAAGATATCCATATTCTGTTACTCTGCAAAGGGTTGCTTGTTATGCTGAGTTTAACATCGAAGACGTTGGAACTCTGACAAATTTTTTGAGGACTCCGGATGAACACCGGGAACTTCTTGTGATAAAAATGTTGGAAATGTATGTCAAGTCTGAAAACGTTCGCAATATTGAGGTTCCACAAAATAGGGATAACCCTCAATCATCAGGTGGTATTTTTGGAGCAGTTTTATCCGAACAGGTTCCGTTTGAAAGAGTTTGGCAAGATCTAAACTTATCTCCACGGGCGAATGAGGAGCGATAATATAATTTCTCCCCAAGTTTACATAATCCACACGCCGAGTGGTAAATTTTAATTTTTCTTTGTATTATTATGTTTCTTTTTATGTATCATATTTGTATTAACACTCATATAATCCAAATAGGGTACCGGCCAGATATGAATTTTACAAGTTATGAACCAACGGACAGTTGGAATATGCCCAGTTTTGATGTTTTGGATCATGGTGGTCCATCCGGGAGTCATCAGCAACTCGATAAGGGCCAGTCGAACTGCAACGGGTTGATCTCTATAATCTTGTAAAAACCCGTTTGCTGAAGGCGTCTTAACTGTACGGGGATGCAGTGGGTGGTCCCTAATGAACTCCCACAGATCATCTATATGTCTGGGTTGAAGGTCTAGGATAGACACTACCCATCCCATATGTGTGAAGACCTATGGTTGCCCTGGAGCAACAGTAGCTCTCGAGATGCAGGTCTGGGATGCACAAGAGGAAGCTCCATGACGATGTCTGTAAATTGAACAATATTAATTAAAGTATTTTTCTGTTTAATCGTTTAACATCTTTAAATATATTGCGATATTTTCTATATTAATATTTAATCGATAATTTTTCTATATTATTACTTATATATTTTCTATATTATTATTTTATATGTTAGTTTCTTACATTTTTTACTAAAATTCGGCAGAATTTTATTTGAACTGTCATCTTTTTTCAGCTATTTTTGGGTTATAAGAGAATTACATAATTAATTTTCATGACTAATCATGATATATTTAATAACTATTCATATAAAAATACTTAGGTTGAAATATTTTCTATATTATTGTTTTATATGCTAGTTTCTTATATTTGTTTTACTAAAATTCGGGAGAGATATGTTTGAACTATCATCTTTTTTTCCAGACATTTTTGGTGTTATAAGAGAATTAAATATTTAATTCTCATAACTAATAAGATATTTTAGTAATTAATCATCTAACAAATACTTAGATTGATAAATTTTCTATATTAATATTTTATATGTTAGTTTCTAAACACTGTTGACTAAAATTCTGTAGGGTTTTGTTTGAACAATCATCCTTTACAGCTATTTTTGGGTTATAAAAGAATTAAATAATTAATTTTTATAACTAATAAGATATATTTAATAATTATTCGTATAATAATACTTAGGTTGAAAATGTTTCTATATTATTATTTTATATGTTAGTTTATTATATTTTTTACTAAAATTTGGGAGGGTTTTGTTAGAACTATCATTTTTTATTTTCCAGATATTTTTTGGGTTATAAGATAATTAAATATTTAATTTTTATAACTAATAAGATACTTATATACTAATACATTAAATTCATAATTGAGTACTCTAACCGACTACAGAATCCTAAAGAGCACTAAAGTCACACTACTCTAAATGGCCATAAGCAAAGTCAACTACCATAAGCTAAAATTTATTATCAGTTTTACTACGCTAACAGGAACTACATAATAATTAAATGCACAACATAATACTAAAGGGCACTAAACAACAATAAAGTCACATATTATTATACGTACACCACTAAAATCACATATAACACTAATTATTAATAACATAACAATATATAATTTTTTTAATTTTTTAGCACATAAATAAACTAATCCGGATAAACAATAAAAAAATAATTATATCACAAAAAGCATACAACACAGTAAAAGCAACTAATTAGTACTTTATATACATGAGGTTTACCAAAAAGTAAGTCGGAATAACTCGATTTACAGTTTTTTGATTTGTGAAAAATTGATGATTTGACCACCGAAACGAGCAATAGAAGATNGGGGGGTACCGTTTTCTCAGTTCTGTCGAGAAAGATGGCTGGGCTATTTTTTATATAGGTATAGCACATATACAAGATGCGCTATACCTACTTGTCTTTTCAACTTCAAGTATAGCGTATGTTGTATATGCACTGTACTTATATTTTGACCGCTATTTAAAATTCAAATATAACGCATTCGTTACATACGCTATACCTTTAACGGACAAATATGCCGTTAAGATATAGCGCATCAACCCATGCGTTATAAATAAATTGATAGTCGATTAATTTTTATGGTTTGAGTCCAAATAAACATTATGTTGGTTCCCGGCTCGTTTTTGTTCTCTTCAAAAACCATAGTGTCCTAAGTAGTGGGACCCAACATTACCCTATGTCAGCGGTCTAACCTATAACACATGGCAAGAACACCCATCAACTTTAGTTGGATGTGGGTCCCCCTCTATCTGTTTCAAAACACGGAGGCAGATAAAATATAGTACGACACTTTGATTGGTCAATTTGTGGGAATGTGAAAGTGGTGGAAACTATTTTTCAAGTCTTGAATTTTCTACAATCAAACTCTATAAATCCAATAGAAAATAGGACCCAAATTTATTGTAAACTTAATAATAAAAAGGGAGAACTCCACGTTTTTCTTCTCCCCTTTCCAGGAATCATCAATAGGCTTTAAGAATTGAGGAGTCTTATTGTTATTCTCAAAGAATGAACATTTACTAACACTTCTATTTGATCAAAAGAGCCTTCTTTGAGAATTTGAACTAGAGATTAACCCCTACTTTAATTTCCTCAAAGAAAATGATAGTAAGATGGTGGGTAACAACATTCCAATTGACAGAGCTGTTTGTGAGTTCTTTAGTTCATTTGACATATGGGCTTTACATATTCAGCACAGCTGTTGCCGGTGATCTTTCCCAAACTCTGAGCAATTGTCTTTTCAAGTCAAATTTGGAAACAGATGATACAAAAAAGACTAACAGTGATGTGCCTCCTATCGTGCTAGTTCATGGAATCTTTGGTTTTGGCAAAGGGGTAATGCCCCTTTATCACATTTCCACATTTTCTCCTTCTTTGGGTTTTGGGTTTTTTTCTTTCTCCATAATATGAAGGTCAAGTTGTTTGTTCTAATTGCCACCTGGCCTAATGTATTTTGCTTTTTTAGAGACTGGGAGGACTTTCATATTTCGCTGGTGCAGAGAAAAAGGACGAAAGGGTTCTAGTGCCAGATTTGGGTTCGCTTACTAGCATTTATGACAGGTGGATGTTTCAGCTCAAATACTGCCATACTGTTGTCTCCTGTTCCTTTTTTTTTTTTTGAGCAACAATTGATGGATTTTAGTTTTCAGGGCTCGTGAATTGTTTTATTATTTGAAAGGAGGGCAGGTTGATTATGGGGAGGAACACAGTAAGGTTTGTGGGCATTCCCAATTTGGAAGAATTTATGAACAAGGTCAGAATCTTTTAATCTTCTCTTAATGTTGGTCTGAGATGAATTTAAACGGGGAACAAGGTCAGCGACGATTCATATAATCGACGCCAATTTGTTTGGGACTGAGGCGCAATTGTTGTTGTTATATATTTACTTAATTGCATTTCAATCTTTGTGAATTCAATGTCTAACTTAAACTTGCCACTTTTCTTTCCTGGCAAAAAAATGAAGCAGGACACTACCCCGAGTGGGATGGAGATCATCCTATTCATTTTGTGGGGCATTCAGCTGGAGCACAGGTTGTTCGAGTCTTGCAACAGATGCTAGCTGACAAGGTAAATTAATGCACAATTAGTTAAAAATATTTGACGCGTTAAATAATCTGTTCGCGGTTAACATTACGCTTACTGTGATAGGCATTCAAGGGTTATGAGAATACTTCAGAGAACTGGGTGTTAAGCCTAACATCATTATCTGGAGCACTTAACGGGACAACCAGAACATACTTTGACGGAATGCAGTAAGTTTCTCAACTTTTTTACTTGCTGTAGTTTAACCTTATTTGGTCCATTATTGCCATGTGAACAATTGATGCTTTTATGCTATAAATTTGATCGAGTTGTGAGTTAATATATCTATACTTAGCTGTGACGTCAGAGTCCTAGATGATCTTCGCGTACATAGTACTTCAGGAGGCACACAATATGTAGTTACTCCATTATATTATGATAATATGCATAAAAACTACTGTCAAATCTATCATTGTTTTGTAGCTTTCTTTACTTTTATGTTTTTAACCAGTTAACTGAGACCTGTAAAACTGCAGTATTTACTGAATTTGACTGAATTCTTCGACAGACCTGAAGATGGGAAGTCCTTAATGCCCGTATGTTTGCTCCAACTTTGCCGCATTGGAGTAATAATTTATGAGTGGCTTGATATTCCCTGGCTGAAGGTCTATTACAACTTTGGCTTTGACCACTTCAGTATGTCCTGGAGGAAAAGTGGTATCCGGGGTCTTGTTGATTGCCTTTTAGGGAATGCCGGCCCATTCGCTTCAGGAGATTGGATACTTCCAGATCTTACCATCCAGGGGTCAATGAAGTTGAACAGCCACTTACGTACATTTCCGCAAACATACTACTTCAGCTATGCTACCAAGCGTACCACGAAAGTTATGGGTCTTACAGTTCCTTCTGGTGTTCTAGGGATACATCCTCTGCTATTCATCAGAGTCCTGCAAATGAGCCAATGGCGGCATCAACAAGATGTTTCTCCTCCATACAAGGGCTATAGGTTCGTGCCTATTACTCCTCTGTTTCAATCTACTTAGATAGATGAAGGTTCTTTATACTGCATGGCCTATTCACCTGAGTTTTATTTCTATTTAGTCAGCAAGATTTTGAAACTCTGTAGTGAAACTTTTCTCAAGCATTGGCTATTTTAATCGAGTGACTATGCGTGTTGAGCCTCGCTGATTTGCATTGAGATCCCACATCCAACCTGATTATATTATTTGGGGTTATTGTTGTTCATGACAAGTTATTGTTGATTGTTAGACTACTTCGTGGATTTACATGCATGGCTCATATGCAATGCGCTAAATTAGGGATTTTGTAGCACCACTTTTGATTGATTTCCAATTCTCCTAATTTTAGTGTCACCTGAAAACTTTCTGTTTAATCTCCTTTTGTAAGATGTGGATTTCCGTTTATGATCAGTTTAGAGTCACAAGTTTTAATACGTCGCAAAAATTTTAAAATCAGTAATTCAAATGCACCATTAAGTTTTCTCATTCAAGATTGTATCTTCTTAAAGTAATCATTGTATATGAAAGCAGTACAGATTCAATACAAACAATAACTAGTTTCATCATCTCATTGCTGTTATTTCATGTAATACCTGCAGGGATGAAGATTGGTGGGACAATGACGGTGCTCTCAACACCATATCTATGACACACCCTCGCTTGCCGGTTGAACACCCGAGTCACCTTGTTGTAAAAGATTCTGATTGCCAGCCCTTGCAACCTGGCATCTGGTAGGTGCCAGTCAGATTCTGCTCTCGTATTTGTTTAGCCAAGTTAATATCATACAGTACCTCTTCTAGTTCTGTGTCCATAGCCTTTAATAACTACACAGTCCTCATCATTAGTCTTCATTCATGTCCTTACTCCTTAGTATTCCTGGGTATTAAGAATGGCAAATGGCCAAATATACCCCTCTACTTTCGAAAATGGTCTAAGAATACCCCTCGTTATACTATTGGGCTATTTATACCCCTGCAGCCATACTTTGGGTTCAAATATACCCCTCATTTAAACGGAGGGACACGTGTCATCGTCCTGTTGGTCAATTCTAAATATCTCTTAATTAATTAAAAAGACATATTACCCATACCTGAAAAATAATTATTTTTTTTGTAAAAACTGAAAAAAACTGATATTATTTTTACTAAAAACTGAAAAAAATGATTTTTTTTTTTTTTCAGGTTTTACAAAAAAACTGCTTTAGAAAAAAACTGAAAAATATTTTCTAAAACAATATTTTTGTAAAAACTGAAAAAAAGAGCTGAAAATCAATTTTCTAAAGCAATATTTTTTGTAAAAACTGGAAAAAACTGAATTTCTTTTACTAAAAACTGAAAAAAAACGAAAATATTTTTTTTTTCCAGTTTTTACAAAAAAATTGCTTTAACAAAAGCTGAAAAATATTTTTTAAAACAATATTTTTGTAAAAACTGAAAAAAAAACAAACTAAAAAGCAATTTTCTAAAGCAATGTTTTTGTAAAAACTAAAAAAACAAATATTTTCTTTTTTTTCAGTTTTTAGTTAAAAATATTTCAGTTTTTTCCAGTTTTTAATTGCTTTAGAAAATTGATTTTCAGCTTTTTTTCAGTTTTTTACAAAAACATTATTTTAGAAAATATTTTTCAGTTTTTTCTAAAGCAGTTTTTTTGTAAAAACTGAAAAAAAAAATATTTTCGTTTTTTTTAGTTTTTAGTAAAAATAATTTCAGTTTTTTCTAGTTTTTACAAAAAAAAATAATTATTTTTCGGGTATGGGTAATTGGTCTTTTTAATTAATTAGGAGATATTTAGAATTGACCAACAGGACGATGACACGTGTCCCTCCGTTTAAATGAGGGGTATATTTGAACCCAAAGTATGACTGCAGAGGTATAGATAACCCAATAGTATAACGAGGGGTAATCTTAGACCATTTTCGAAAGTAGAGGGGTATATTTGGCCCTTTGCCGTATTAAGAATTGAGGTTTCAGAGAATTGGAACCTTGCTTTATGATGAGCGATTGTTATAGCCATCTTTTCCTTGCAAAAAGTATCTTAACTCAATGTGATCCTTTTTCTTTACTAGGATCTGATGTAGTATTGATCTCTTCTAATGGAATTCCCTATCAGAACTAATGATATCATGTGAAGGTGACAGTAGTTTTGTCTCCTTACTGATTTTAATAGATTTGACCAACCATCTATACTTACCTATATCAAAAAGATGGATGTTAAATTACATGCATTGATAGGATAATCATAGATTTCCTCTGTTAGTAGATTCAGATGTTTAGGTTATCTCTGAAAAATTGTTTCACTTGGCTGAAGAGCGAGTTCCAAGTACTTACAATTCAAAGAAATATGCTTACATTGTATGATCTTCCCTAAGCTTTGAGTAATGTATAGGAACTTATCCATATTAAAGGGATGTTTATATTGTCAAGAAACATTCCTAGAAAAGCAACTGTAACTGGTTTCGTCTTTATTTTTCAATGAACAAATTACTGATCTTATCTCTTGTAGACCCCTCATACACCGTATCTTGTTTATACTCGTAACTGTTTTTTATATAATTCTTTTAATATATAGTTCTTTTCACCCTTGTCGTTATGATTGCGTTCAAAGGCAGCAGCATTCATATTTCCTCCTATGCAGGTACTATAAAATTGTGGAAGTTGACCACATTCTTTTTGTTATGAACCGGGAAAGAGCTGGAGTTCAATTTGATTTGATCTACGACAGCATATTTGAGCGCTGCAGGAAGCATGTCTTAAGAAAGACTCCAAAGACTCCCAAACCAACATTCTTCTAATCTTTTACACATTGGCAAATATCTATTTCGCCTTTGAAATGGATTTTAAGGTCAATGTCTCTCATTGTTCTTTTGTATGTAATTGTTATTACCTCCATTGGCTCGTAGGCTTTCCGTGGGGAAATGTAAGTAGAGATTTGGTCCGTTGAACTGTCAAAAAAGATGAATTTAGAATTCCAAAAGAATACAGAACTTTCTTCTTTGACCATGAACTGCATGATTTCTTATTGTGATTGACTGATTTTTCATCTCAATATGGGAAAATACTCCCTAAACTTGTCTCGAAAACTCATTTACATATTCTAACTTTACGAGTGTCTTTTTACCCCTCTATTCTAACTCAAAGAAGAATTAATACCACCCTGAGAGGCGAGAGCTGATGGCAGAGAGAGTGTTTTCACTCCTTAAAACGTGACAAGATTCTTTAATTGGATAGTACACAATTGACTAGACTAATTTTGGCGGGCCTCTTTTCTTTTTCTTCTCCTCCACCTCAATCTTCTATCTTCACCTGCAAAACCAAGGGTGGTGCCTCCAAAGACTCCACCATTGCAGGTTCTCCAACTCCAAGATAAACCTTATTTGGTTGAAATCACTGACATGATGCCCAAACACTTTTGTGTCTCCTCTTTGAACAAAATTACATATTGGGTTTGCACTTTGCAGTCTCTATATATCCAAAAGAGGTCCACAAAATTAAATTTATATCCTTTGACACAGCTTAAGCACGAATTTCCCACATTACTAGATTCCTCTTGATTCAAAACTCTTGTCAAGAATAATAGGAAGGCTGCCATAGCAGTCGATCTGACTATGCTTGAAAAATATTGTTGTGGTTATTATTATTTCTCTTCTATGTTACTAAACAAAGTCAACTCTAGTTTATTTGGAAAAGAAATAAAGCTTCAGTGATTGATCATGGCAGATCTGTCATTCTCAGTTGTGTTAGTTTATTTGCACGGAAAGATCAGCTCTCACCACTAGAAACCAGATGGAAGCTAGCTGCCTCGCCTCACTGCCATAACAAGCTGTTAGGACTGAAAAAATCAGGTGTCATGCGTAAGCTAGCAAAGCAAACCTTGAACGACGATATATCAGACAACAAAAGAGAAATCTACCAAAAGAGACACAATCATTTAACGTGGTTCAGTCAATTGACCTACGTCCACGGCGGAGATGGGCAATCTACTATAATAAAAGAGAGTACAAAATATCGAGAGAACAACCTCACGAAGAGGCAAACACAACTGACACACTAACACTTGTCCCGTAAAGTTCTTCCCCTAAACACGACTCTCAAACCTCATATGGCTACATTGTGGATGCTACTGAATGAGAAGGAACGATCCTCAATTTATAGAAGTTCAAACCTTTTCCTAGAAGAAAAAAAGGACTAGCCAAACATGGAAGAATTATAATTTCCTTCTACAAAAATGAAAACCCAATTATGGTATATGTTGCCCTTTCTTTCAAAAGATAGGAAACCAAATATGGTAAGAAAATCAGGACAACCCCTAACACAAACCACCATGATATCCTCTTTCACCACCAGAAGTGCGCATGCCTTCCCGTCTTACCATGAACGCCCACGACCAGTGGAGTTTCTTAGAAGGATTTCAAGAAATGTAGAAAGCAGGTAGAATAGGTAAAGACCCCCTCCCCCCCTAAAATTGACACTTTTTAATGAGCATACACCTTAAGTGTACGTGATTTTAATTACCCCCTACGCTTACTTTTTCGGATGTTATTACCCCTAACCTAGTAAACCTTTCTATCGTGAATACACGCGCTGTATACATTTAAATGCTTGATGATGTGGCTGTACACGTTGGAATAATTAGGGTATCCAATTAGAATACCCGACCCGCCTTTAAAATTAATCCCTCAAATTTAACCCATCCCTTTTACCATCAGTTCATTTGGTCGATAACATAGAAAAACTAGGGTTTCTCACCACTTCATTCCCATCAATGACAGAGACGATTGTGAGTGCTTGAGCTTGATTTTGTGAGTCGATAGGGTTCTCCGTTGAGGTGCTGCTAAAAGCTAATGTGGAGGAGCTAAAAACTACTGGTTTCTTTGAGTCTCGCCAAAATTTCTATTGTTTTCACTCCGCATTTGTTAGTCTTATTCAACAACCCAGAAATAACAATGTTTGCTTGCTCAAAAAATGGAGGTTCATACCACTGAAAAAATCGACAAGAATTTGTTTTCGGATAAAGACTACATCCAAAGAATCGTCATCCAGGATTTGCAGTAGTCCATGCAACTTTTAAAGGAGTTGGCTTGCCACATCTATAAAAAACATTCATCTTCTTTCTTCCAAGTAAAAAAATGGTTGTTATTTGGGCAAAAAATAAGAGCCAAAATGGATGGAATTTGGATGGACAAAGAATGTGAGAACAACGAAAATGCTGAAGAATTAGAAAGAAGACAATAAATAAGGGTGAGAATAGGGTTGTTACCGTTGAGGTCTTCATTTTTGGGGGAAAATGCATTTATTACCGTTAGGGATGGTTCTAGGATTGGGAAAAGGAAATATTCAACTGATGTGGCAAAAAATATACTCCCCACGCGCACTCAGCCATTTGAACCAACTTTCACTGCCATGTGGCAGGTTAGGGGGGTAATAACATCCGAAAAAGTAAGCATAGAGGGGTAATTAAAATCACGT